CCGTGCTGCCCTGCAGCAGGCTTAGCTGGGAACTGGGGCTTTGTCTTCCAGTGCCACCCTCCTCCTGCCAGGCCCTCTGCTAGGCTCTTGCCCACACTTACTCCCCTTCCTGCTGGCTTGTGCTCTCCAGTACTTAGAACATAGGGTGTGGCAGGCATGGGTTTGTTCTTTGCTCTATTCAACTCTAAAGAGCTGAGTTGACTTCAGAGTAGAGAATCTGAGGTCAGCAACATACATTCAAATGCTGCCTGCCTCTGGCCCCTCAGATTATGCTCCCCCACTTCTGAGGATACAAATAGGTCTAGCCTAAACCTTTCTCTTAAAGCTTTTTTTTTTTTTTCAGACTTAAGCAAAGAGATTATGTTCACCATTCATGGAGGTTACTCAAAACCCTGGCTGGGAAATGGCACATAGGAGTCTATGCTGGATGTCTGAAAACATTCTCAGGCTTTGCTTTATGAAGGGAGAATTGCCCTCTTCTTGCTCCTCTTAATATAAACCTGAAAAGTATTGAGAGATCACCTTACAGTATTCCTGGTGAAAGTAAACATTGCAAACTTTCAATGATCCACAGGTGAGGCAAGTATTAGACCATCAGATTAGCTCTGGGGGAAGCTGGATAGCTGGAAAGGCTTTGGTGTCATGGGTAAGTTTTTCATTCGGGCTCTGCCACTTTCTAGCAGTGTGCTTTGGGCAAGTTACCTGAACTCAGTGAACTTAGCCTTTCTCTGGTAAAGGGGGAAATGCCATGCTTATTCCATTCTTCTGCTAAATAAGAACATGAAGGCTAGATAAAAACTAGAAGGCTCCACTTTCAGCCCCAGATGCTAACCAAATAACAACATTTTAGGAATTCATTTTCAATATTCTAAAGTAATAAATGTTCAGAATGTTTAAGGCCCAGAGAGAACATGTGGATTGCCTCATCTATTTTCTTTCACAGACAGGGAAGTGAGCCCTTAGGGGATTAAGTGGACTTTCCCGGGGTAATTATAGAACAAAGACTAGAATCCATCACTTCTGTTTCTGAGTCCAGGCCTCAGTCCCCTATATCACACCACCTGCCATCTTTGGTTATTCTCCTTGCCCAGGGACCAGAAGGAGCTCCCCCTGGGGTACACTAGAATTGCCTGTAGGATTACCATTTTGCTAGACTTGGCTAGGAGAGAGTATAATGTATCACGGTGCACAGAGCTGGTGACATCCTGCACTAGCCCCAATTCCCACATGAGTTCACAGCCTCAAAACTGGTAAGGTAGCCTCAGGGTGTTTGTGGCCAGTACAATTGCTGTCAGCTGAACAAAAACATTTCCCCATTATCCTTTCTGCAGGAAGCCACAACTCCAGCCTCCCAAATGGGGAAGAGGAGCTGTGAGGTACGGAACCGGCTTCCTATTTCCATTGAGCTATGGCAATGACATTTTCTCCAAGATAGTGAGGGCTGCAGGACTGGAGGGGCCACAGCCCTGGGCCCACAACTGAAAACAAACCCCAACACTGGTAAGGGAACCAGGAGCCAGGCCCTCTGGACGAATGCTTTTCGATCCTTAGGGTCGGGCAAAGAAGACAAGAAGCCACTAAAGTGGGGGAAGGATGAGCCCCACCCCTCTGTTCTCTGAGCAGTTTTGCTTTCTTCAATATGAGTTATGGTTGTTCTGTTTTAAGCTTTATTTGAATGAAGAATTTTGCTGCTATATATGTACACTCACACATACACACACACACGCACAACTTTTTTTTTAACTAGACCTTTTCAATTTAGCTTCCCTTACTTCCCCTGCTGGAAAGATACACCAAAACAGGGAGCTCACAGTTGGATTAATTTATGCCCTGTAAGGCCAAGGACAGTTAGTGTGCCCTGACAGAGAGGAGAATACGGAGGGAGTATTTAGAGAAAGCCACAGCTTCTGGGGTGACCAGCTTCTATAGATGATTTTGTATCACAGTTACCTGCACTGTATTTTTTAAGCCTCTAAATCTCGGGGCAACCTGGGTGGCTCAGTCAGTTAGGCGTCTGCCTTCGGCTCAGGTCATGATCCCAGAGGCCTGGGGTTGAGCCCCACAACAGGCTCTCTGCTCAGCACGGGAGCCTGCTTCTCTCTCTCCCACTCCCCCTGCTTGTGCGCTCACACTCTCTCTCTCCTCTCAGTCAAATAAATAATAAAATCATTAAAAAAAATCTATAACTGACTTGTCATCTGTAAATTGGGTCTCAAATCAACACTTCTCAATGACATTATCCCCAGGCTTATCAAGGATGCCTGTCTTTGTGGGGCACTCAATACCCCATGTTGGCATGGCCTTACCCTGACATATTTGTTCTTTGTGGCTTAGGAGTGAATTGGCCTGCAAAAGGAGCCTCTTGTCACTCTGATTTAGATTCCTTCTGAAGAGAAGCGAAGGGAATGCTACACAATGAGCTAGAAGTTCCTGATTCTTGTCCTTGGACAGTGCATTCCTTTGCTGATGGATGGAAGGGGCAGTAGATGCACAGTCAAGGCTGGATGTGGGGTTGGGAGAGGAATTCATAGCCGCTTCAGACAACACAGAGAGTAACTGTGTTTGCAGAGAGACCTGTCACCCTGCTCTCTCTAAGCTCAGGCAGGAGGTCAAGAAAGCCCATTTCATCTGTGCTACAGTGTCATACAATCTTGGTGGGTTCTCATGTATCCATCCCCACTTGAGCTCAAAGAAGATAGAATCCTAACAAGAGAGTCATAACTTTCATGTGGAAATTATGAGTCTTCGGCACAAGGTGACCACTTCCTATGCACTGAGTGTAGAACTTACTTAACAAAACAAAACAAAACCAAAAACCTAAGGGGAAATCATGGAAGAGTCGTAAGCTGGGGAATGGCATGATTAAATTATCATTTTTAAAAGGCTTTCATTGTCGGTGCTGAGTGAGAAAACATCCAAGCTGATCTTGAAGGAGGCTGGGATGCAGTGAAACAGGTGAGAGATAAAGATTAGTGTGTGGCTCTGGAATTGGAGAGAAGTTGCCCTTTTTGAGAAATATTGAGGCAAAGGTACAATTTCTAGGACTTGGTGATTGATAATATGCCATGATGTGGGACAGAGGGTGGCCCAAGAGGATGCCTGACTTGGGCAACAGGGCGGTTAGTGGTGCTTTTCCCTGAGATGATGAATATAGGGGAGGAGCAGGTTTCAGTAGGAGAATGCCCAGCTTCTTAAGCTGAATGTTGTGTACTGGATTGCAGGTACCTGCGTGGAGCTCAATGAGAACTCGGATCACACATATAGATCTGTGAATCTTTGGCAAAAAGAGATAGTAACAGAAACTACAGAGAATGGGAGCCAAGCAAGAAGTCTTTTCTCAGCCCCTCTACTGCAGGGACCCCTCTACAAGAGCAGCCCCGAGTGAGGGGCACCGACTCCTCAGACTGATGCCAGACGAAGAGAGGAGAATTGACAACAGCATTTCCTACAGTGCCATGATGCTGAAAAACTGTTCCCTGAGAAAAACCATACACCCAGCCCCCCTACACACACATGCTGTTCCATGATCATATAAGTTTAGAAAAATCTGCACTTAGAGAATATTAAGGACTGACACGTTCCGTAATCAAGATCTATTTCCTTCAGCATTCTCCATAAGCCAGCCCTGGTCAGAGGTGATTCCAGAATCTGAATGTGTCAGGGTAAAGGAAGACAGAGAAAGCTAGCTTTCCCAGACGCATGTTTTTAAGTCGAGCACTGGGGAGAATGTCCATTTTTCCTTTACCAGATAAAAAAATTGTGGCTCAGTGGTAGGTTCCGCATTTCATGGCTGGCTAGGGATATGTTGGGGTTATCACTTAGCCCCTAACTGTTTCAATCTAAGAAAATCCCAGTAGACACAGCAGAGAGAAAACTGGAAATATATATATATAATAATTATATATAATTTTCAAAATCTACTGGTCGTAACATTCTCTGTGACTTTGAATTTGCGTCCCAACTGCTATTTCTTCTTATTATTTCTTTTTTATTTTTAAACTTTTTTAAAAAACTTTTTCTTAAAAATTTAATTTATTTATTTTTAGAGAGAGACAGAGGGAGAGAAAGAGAAAGCACAGTGGGGGGGTGGGAAGGTGCAGAGGGAGAGGGATAAGCAGACTCTGCACTGAGCACAGAGCCTGATGTGGGGCTTGATCCCACAATGCTGAGATCATGACCTGAGCTGAAATCAAGAGTGGGTCACACAACCAACTGAGCGTCCAGGCACCCCCACCAACTGCTATTTCTTAACTGTATAATCTTGGGCTAAATATCTAACTTCTGTGAGCCTCTGTTTTCTCATCTATAAATGGGGAAATAAGGGTAACTAGCAGGATTATTATTAGATGTTACTATTAATAAACTGAAGCTGAGAGGTTGAGATTTGCTCAGTACCACAGAGCTAACAGAGATAAAGCTGAAACTCAGAACTTTGGGTTCTAAATCTGGGGCTCCCTTTACTAACCAAATCATTTCTACCGGTGTCACTTGGAGTGTGCCTTGGGGTTTACCCTTGACAATATCCTTACACAAGGAAAGTCCAGCTTCTGAGACACAGAAGTCTGAAAATGGTATCCCAATCCAACAGGAAACTAGAGATCTTCTGGAAGGCAGCTGGAAGGAGGGTGGGGAGAAGGCCAAGTGGTTTGAGAGATATTCCTGTCTCAGTCCTAGAAAACTTCTAAAAATAATTATTTTGGGGTTCCACTCCAGTTTCCATCTACCAAACGGGGGGCCAGACATACTTATTCTTGAACAGATCCACACATAATTTTGAGGTGCTATCTTGACTGAGAAGCACTGACATTTTCTAGGCAGAAATCAATACTGAAATCACCTCAGAATGCACCAGGGCTCACCGATGAGTGCCTGGAAGAGGTCTTTGACTTTTCTGTGTTTCATAGAAACAAGTTTATGTATTTGGGTGGGTCATGGGAGTAGGTGTCTAAAAAGCCACAGGGGAAGGATTGCATCTCTAAGGTTAAAGAGAGCAGGCCGAGCCTCACTTCCTCCCTCTCGTCAACTGGGCTTCCTGTTGTCACAGTGTGAGCACATTTATTTTCCCTTCACTTCTCCTTTTACACAAATAGCCCCGGACATCCGTGTTACCAGCCTCGTTGTGACCACCTCAAAGATAATCACCGATCTTGCCTAAAGGACTGAGGAAGAGTGCCTGCGAAAGGTAAGCTTGGTGACATTTTAATCTGGCTTGACAAGACCTGAATCATATTATGTGGGATAGGGTGTCTTAGGATTGTCTGTACACCTCTTCAGTAAGTCTAAAATCTCCGCAACTGCTATTTCACAAATATTTAGTGCAGGAAAATAAAAAGATCAAGATCCTGGCACCCCTCAAAAGACAAGCAGGCCGTAAAGACTTTTCACTAACCAGATTCCTGTTATCTGATACCTCTTTGGGTCAGGGCATTCATGAGCTTAAATTGTTTCAGAACTTGAATTTCTGTGTGTAGTCATTTCTGATGCCTGGAGCCTTCTGTGGGACATGACGTTGGGGAGATTTCATACATACTTAGGTCTCTTAGAAGATTGATCTTGTGATTTTAGAGTGAGGAGAGAACCAATGGCCAGAACCATTTAGAGAGGCAGTTGGGAGATGGCAGTTCTTAATTCGATCAGTTTTCATGACTCTCACTGTGATTCCTCAGAGCCACTAAATAGAAGGACAGTTACAAATGACAATACCCAGTTCATAGTCAGGAACACAGGGCATGCCCACTGCCTGTATATCAAGAGGTAAAAGCTGAACACCCCTAAGAGATGCTTAGATTGATTGTTTTCAAACAGCAGGAAGAACATTGTGATTTATTCCGCCAAATAAACTTGTCCTTGGTATACAAAACATAAATATTGATAAATATAACGTGACATGCACCAACCAACAAATTTTGATATTGTAATGATTTCTAATTCATGCCCTGTAACTAGCGACTGGGGTCTCATGGACTCAGAAAGTCAAAGTCAAGCTTTGGTCCTGGATTTCTGTGACCACCATAGTCATTACTACAGGTCAGGAGACCACAGGAAACACTAAATCAGAGCTTTCTCCTTCTAATACCTGCAGGAATCTCAACTGATTATGCCCTAGGGGGAGAGGAAGGCCCTCAAGGACGATTACTTACCAACTTAACAATGAGGGATGGCAACGTCACCAAGGGCTCTAGATTCCCAAAGTACCTCAGGGGCCATTGAGTCATGAATTTAAAAATAAAGACCAGATTTTTTATTTTATTTTTTTAAGATTTTAAAAAAGATTGTATTTATTCATTTGAGAGAGAGAGAGAGTGCAAGTAGGGGGCGGGGTGGAGGAGCAGAGGGAGAGAATCTTAAGCAGGCACTGAGCACAGAGCCAGACGCAGGGCTCTATCCCACAATCCTGAGATCATGACCTGAGCTGAAACCAAGAGTCAGACGTTTAACCAACTGAGCCACTCAGGTGCCCCTTAAGATTTTATTTTTAAGTAATCTCTACACTCAATGTGGAGTTCTAACTTAACCTCGAGATCAAGAGTCACATGCTCTACCAACTGAGGCAGCCAGATGCCCCAGGACCAGAATTTTTAATGAATTCATTTAATAATCATATATTAAGTGCCTCCTGGGGCCAGGCACTGTGTTTTGGAAGATTCTGGTGGGGAGACAAAAATAGCAAGGTAGAGATTTGTCCCCAAAATAGTCCTGCCCTTAAGGAACTCCTATGGAAGATAAAAGATATCAGTGCTTTGGAAGAGAATTGAGCAAAAGCAGTCTTAGGTGCTGGCTAAACAAAGAAGTTTTGCTTTCTCAATCTCCACCGGAATCTGCACTGTTTTGAAATTGCGGTTGGTTTGGAATTGAGACTGAACTGAAGCTTGATTTCCTGTGTTGTTTTCTGTGTGGGCCAATTAAGCATAGTTAGCTTTTAAGTAAAAGGATTGGGTGCCTTTATACCCACAGGGAATGATTCAAAGCCCATTCCTTCACAGCTACTGCTGCTGAGGCCACTTCACCTTTGGTAATTGACCCGCACAAACGGGCAAGGTCAAACTCCATTGGTCTTTTGTTTATAGTATCCTCAGGTTGACCTCTGACCACCCAAAGGGCTTTGGACTCTAGATCTGAAGACTGTTCCCCTTTTTCAGTCCCACCCCACAGCTTACGAACAGCTAGGCATGGTGCTAAGTCCCGGAGACACGGGGATGACTGACGTGCTTATCAATCTCAAAGGGTTTGTGGATTCTGGCGTGGTATACAGACACAACACACCAATATAGCACAATGCAATCTTTTCTATCATGGAGGAAGAGTGTGCACACAATGTGGGAGGAGTGTAGGAGTGTGCCTTGGAGAGGAAGTGACTGCTTGGGTTCATTTTCAAAGAAGTACAAGTTTGCTATGGAGACTGGGGGTAACCATGCATTCCAGATGGGCACAATACATGCACACTCAAAGAGTGTGACCCCGCCCCCCCAAATGCATTTGAGATGAGAGTAAGCAGGTGAGCAGGAGCAGAGGAAGTGGAAATCTCTCTCTCCTACTTGGTTTAAGAACCCAGCATCTGAAAGTGAAAGGCAAGATCAAACAACTGGGCAGGTCCAAGGTCTAGGCCTGGCCGTGACTATGCCTGAGACATCAGAATTGATGGGATGGGATGTGGCTTGAAATGAGGGTGAAGGGGAAAGTTTCTTACTTCTTAATCTCGATTTTCCCTAGGTTAGGGTGAAGTTTGGAGCTCTTTGCGAGGTTATGGCCACTGTCTCTCAACTTCTGTTCCAGGAAACGCTGTGTTGATTTAGTTACAGTGGTTTGGTTTGTGTTCCTAAATTAGTCCTCCCCCAGTACTTCCTGTACCAAGGGAGCATCCAGTGTGTGCAGGTCACCCTGGGCCTGCAGACTGGGTACCTGCCCTCAAGAAGCTCCAGGGCCCAGCTGCCACTGCAGGTACAGAGCACCAAAGTAAAGGAACAGAGAAACGAGACTGCTACACAGAGCAGGCCTCTGGGGATGGGAGGCTGGGATTGCAGCTGGAGGGTGAATGTGGGGAGGTTGTCTGGACACAGGCTTTGAGAAGAAGGAATCCATTTACAAAGCCATTGGGTGAGCACTCCCAGAGTGGAAGCCATGGATGTTGGGACACAGAGGCAAGTCCTCTCTTCATTCCCTAGGTCACCAGCACACAGGACCATTCTTTCCCAAGCAGGAACATCAGTACATCACAGCTATGGTCAAGGACTGTTGTAAAGGAAAAGGTGCCACAAGGGATACATTTCTATAATCATTTAAAATAAGAGCCCTATCTATTTTACATAATTTAATTTGGGATTATTTAGGTTCAAATAAAGTGTTCAACTTGTAGTGAGAGCCCAGTAAACATTAGCTATTCTTAAAACATTCGAAACTGCTTATTTTCCAGGCAAGGTGAAACTTGTCCAAAGTTATAAAACTAGTTAAATAGTAATTCCTGATTCTCCATGGAATGCTCCTTCCTCCCCATTACACACTATACTCTCTTTTCTTATAGACTTCCTATTAAATAAGCATCATTAGATGGTGTTCTTTGTTTACATAAATTTCCAGTGCATTTTAACATAAGCAGACATAAAAAATCCAACTTAATCATAAATCCAATTGATCTGAAGTCATATGCTAGCAAATGAAATATTTGAAATATATTCAACTTGTCACACTTTTGTTTGACATTTTATATTTCAGGAGAACTAGATTGAGGAATGGGAGTGAGAAATTATTTTGATACTTCACATCTTTTCAATTTAAACTCATGGCTTAATACTCACTCTCTATCAGAAGCAAATAGAGGCCTTAAAGAATTATCCCATGGTTTGTTCTTCTAAAAACAGCTCTTGTGGAATCTCAGTATTTATGCCATCAAGGATTTACGATGTAATGACTTAAAGATCAGAATTCCTTAGATCATTTACTCATATTCAACTCTATCTCTCTCTCAATTCAGACTTACAGAAAACTTGCAAAACTAGTACCAAGAATTTCTGAACACCCCCCCTTTCACCTAGATTTCCCAAATATTAACATTTTATCACGTTTTCTTTATCCTTCCTAGACTTTCTCATTTGGGAATAATTGTTGGCATGATATCCTTTCCCACAGAGTGCTTTACTGTGTATTTTCTTTCTTTTTTAAGATTTTATTTATTTATTTGATAGAGAGACTGCAAAGTGAGAGAGAGTGAGAGAGACAGAAAGAGAGAAAGAGAGAGAGAGAGAGAGAGAGTATGGGGGGGAGGGGCAGAGGGAGATGGAGAAGCAGATTCCCTGTTGAGCAGGGAGCCAGCCGAGAGGCTCAATCCCAGGACCCTGAGAGCATGACCTTAGCTGAAGGCAGATACTTAACTGACTGAGCCACCCAGGCGCCCCTACTGTGTATTTTCTATGAGCAAAAACATTCTCTTACTTATCACTGTATAATAATCAAAATCAGGAAATTGACACTGATACAATACTGTTACCAATCCATAGATTTTATTCAGATTCCATCAGTTGCCCATTGGTATCCTTATAGCAACTCAAAATCTTGGATTATACCTTGCTTTTAACTGTCCTGTTTCTTTATCCTTCTACCTGGAACAGTTCCTGAGTCTTTCCTTGTGTTTCATGACATTGATATTCTTGAAACGTACAGGCAAGCTATTTTCTAGAATATCTCTCTATTTGGCTTTCTCATGTTTCTTCACGACTAGATTCAGGTTATTCAGACTTTTGATGAGAATACCCCAAAAGTGGCTTTTATTAGCCCACAGAGAGCCTTGCTAATGCTGGACATAGCTTGCCTGAACCCACCATAGATGGCTCTCCAGAACAGGGCCCCTCCACAGCAAAATTCTACATATTTTTAGGGTAAGGAAAGAGAACCTCTAGGAAATGAGCCTCTGAGATCATCTGGATTTATCTTTTCTCACTTCTTTCCTCCTCCTTGCTTCTTTCTTCTTTCTCTTTTCTTCCACAAATCACCAATTTCTCTCCCTGATAACAGCTTTGAAAAGGAAAAAGTTTTCACCAGACCACAATTTTGGGGAGCACTGAGATGACAAACACGTTCCTTTGACAAAGTGATGGAGAGATGAGAAGAAACTAATGCGTAAATGTTGATGGTTTGGTTTGGTTTGATTTTCGTACGGCCCTTCCCCGCCCCTGCGATTGCTTATTACTC